GCTCCCTCCCCGGCCGCCTGTCCTCCGCCCCGTTGACAATGGCTGGGTCCCTGGCCGGGAATTTGCAAGAACTGTCCGCGCGGTACCTGAGCTCCTCGGCCTTCGAGCCGTACTCGCGGACCAGCAATAAAGAAGGGGCCGAGAAGAAAGCGCTGGACTGATCGGGAGCGTCCCCTGTATTTATATTTATAGTCTCTATCGTGGCGATATTTATGGACTCGCGCGAGTTAGGCGCCGGGGATCCCGGCTCCCAGGAGGCCCCTGACAGCTCTGCTTCCCAACCAGGCTCTGCTACCAATTTTATCTCATTTGGGCTGCTTTTTTTTTTTTCCTACATCCCTCTCCCCCCAAACTTCCTCTGAATCCAGGAGAATCCAAAGAATTAGGGGAAAGGCCCGAGTTAGACAACCCGATGCTCCAACCGGTGCTGGGCCCCGGAGGGGAAAGGCCGGTTCTGAGGCCGGAGCACCGCGCACCTGCTGCCGCCCTTGATGGTTAAAGTCTTGTGAATATTCGCAAGAGAAGAGCTGCACGCAGAGCCCAGGGGCTGGAAAAGCTGGCAGGTCCCCTTAGACCAAAAAGGAGTCCATTCCTCCCTCTCGCCAGAGAAGCCAGGGCTGTGGGGAGCCCCTGGTCCCCGCTTTGCGGACCTCCCCGGAGAGCCAGGCGCACGCAGCTCCGGGCTGGACAGATCCTGCTGAGGTTTCTCGCGTTAAAGAAACTCCGATCGCAGCCACCTCCTGGGCTCCCGGACCCCGGGTAACACATTTGACCCTATCAGCAATAATCAGTGATCACCCCCGCATTCAGCCAGAGGAAGTGGAACCGGTTTTAAACTGCTCATCACCACGGAGTTTGGAAGGTCTAAGGGAACTCGGCACAGAGAATGCGCCACCGGGCAGTGCCAATGAAAGTTCCGGGGGCTAACCTTGTACACAGCAACTAAAAAGGGAAAAGCAAAACGAAAAGCCCACGCAGCGAATGGAAGAAAATCCCGCATCATCTTCTAGACAGCGGCTGGGCGGTGGCCTACAGCTGCGCGCCGCTCAGGGAGAGAGAGAGCGCGGTGCGGCTCCGTGGCGCTCCTCCGCACCGCCTCCCCACGCGTGGCTGTGGGCAGCATTGCTGGGTTTGCAAACAAATCAGTGCCCGGTGCCTCTCGTGTCCTCCCCACTCCTGGATTCACAAAACTCTTCCGACACGGGGAAACGTCTTGATGGATTTCAGAGCAGAATTTTTTCGGAGGGAGAGGCGGGACGAAGCCTGGGACAGCGGCTCCGCTCGGCCCACTCTCCTCCATCCGTAGTCCACGCGTCCAGATGGGCATCCTGTGTGGTTGGAAAGGATCCCTCCCTTAACCCCCCAGGAAACCCAAGTCAGAGACCTGGACCTTACCGGTGCCGCAGCAACAGGACAGTCCCCACAGTCATGGCTACCCGCATTTTAACCAAAACCACAGACCCCAGTGTCGAGAATGTATTCCTCCACCGGAAGCCAGCCTAGAGCATTTTAAAAATAGTAATTTTATTGTAAATTATTTACGTCGGAAGCTTTGTTCCCTCTTTTTTTTTTTTAGGCAAATTATTTTTAGTGAAGAAAATAATGAGCGATTCCAATGCGGGTAGGTGTCCCGGAATCCTGGCTACTAACTTCGTTCTGAATGTTTTGGATCTTTGGATGTTTTGTATTTATGTGGTGAGAGTGAAATATATATATCTATGATGATCAACGAGGTGTATTTTTGTCTTGTATTTGAAGGAGAAAACAAAAACAGCAAAAACAAAAAAAAAGAAGGCAGACCCAGCAGCTGAGTCTCAGCGTGGGGACTGGCGGGTAGAGGGTAGCAGCTCGGGCAGTGGGAGGGCACTGGTCCCCTGCGCTCCAGGGATGAGGTTGGTGGTGGTGGGGGGGGTGTTCCGTCAGGAGAGACAGTCTCGAGGGTCCTTCTACTTGTTTGAGTATCTCCTCTCTAGACTCTGTCCCAATGGTGTCGGCCCTCCCCCCTCAACCTCCCACTTTGTGTTTCTGATGTTTAGGGAACTTGTCTGCAGACGCCCTGACTGTCCGGCCTCCTAAGGCTGCTGGTTTCAATCGTTCTCCAGCCGCATCTCCAGGCTGGCAGTATTCTGGACGGGTCTCCCTTTCCTCTAACTTGAGGATAAGCCTCTCTCCTGGCAGAGAGACTCCGAAGGAGCCGGAGAATGTAGTAGATGGTAGTTCCTGCAGAGATGGCTCCCCCCACCGCACCCAGTACTGATGCGGTGGTGACGGATGTGGACTGTGGACGTGGCAAACAGAAATCTTGGGGAGCTGGGAGGGTGCCCCAGGACACACTCTCCTAGCCTGGGGGGCACAGAGCCTGACCTCTCCTTCCTGGGCCCACACACCTAGGGCACCAGGGGGCCACAGTTCCCTTGGAAACCCGCACCCGTGCACTGCGGCCACCCAGTGTGGGCAGAGGACTCGGCGCTTAGTGTGGGCCAGGGCGCCACTGGGTTGAGGACCTTCACCATGAACTGAACCCCGTGTTTGCTGGGAGCAGCCCCCCCCCAGGCGGTTCACTTCTGTTTCTCAAAGTCGCTGCACACCCATCAGCTTTGCTACCTGTCATTTTGTCCCCTCCCCACCCTTCCCTTCTTCCTCTTCTTCTACCTCTTTCTTCTCTGCTGTCCTACAGACCCCTGGGCTCTAGGGTCTTTCTCTCCTGCAGGCTCTCCGACTCCCTCCTCCCCACCAAGTCCTCCCTCTCTCCCCTCTGTCCCTCTGTCTCTACGCTCTCTCTCTCTTTCTCTCCCTCCCTCTCTAGGGTCTTTCTCTCCTGCAGGCTCTCCGACTCCCCCCGCCCCCAAGTCCTCCCTCTCTCCTCTCTGTCCCTCTGTCTCTACGCTCTCTCTCTCCCTCCCTCTCTTCCTCCATCCCTCCCTCTCTCCCTCCCTCCCTCCCTCCCAGTCCTCTGTCTGCCAGGGTGGCCCCAAGGCCAAAGTGTCCGTGGTTCCAGCTGCGGTTTCAGGGCGGGTGGTTGGGGCTAGCGAGGGGGAGAGGGGGTGAGAAGGTGGCATAATTTTATGGAACAAAAGAAAAACAAAACCCCAGCTTCAGGGTCCCCAACAAGCTTGGTCCACTCCTCCAGGAGCTTCTGCCTGGGGAGTCACCAAGCAGATCCCTTAACAGCTACCCCCCTTCCCCATTCTGCCTGTATCTCCGTTTTGCATTCTTACCCCTAAAAGGGGAAAGAACCAGTTACTCCATCTCCTGGCTCTCACCTCCCTTCCCTCCCTGGCTTTGGGGAGAGCTGCTGAGCTCTCCACCTGCCACTCAGGGAGTGCAATTGTCTTTAAAGAGACTCTGCATAGTAAAAGAGCCACACTTTTAATTAAAAAAAACATTCCTCGACAATTCATCTAATTTTAGTGCTTGTCTTATTCCCCTCCTTCCCCAAGGGCCTTCGGCAAACTGCCTTGGTCCCTGGAGGCCTCTGGCTTCCAACTAGTGATGCGGGCCAGGGAGGAGGCAGGTGGCCTCCGTGGCAACAGCTGGCCCTGCCTGGGAGAAGGTGGAAGGGCATCTGGGGGTCAAGGAGAACAGCTGGAGGTGTGTGTGTGGGGAGGGGGGAAGGGGTGGTTGGAAGAAATCTCATGCCCAGGCCTGCACAAAGCAACATTCGAGCTAGCTCAGAGCAGAAAAGAGAAGGAAAGGAAACCTCTCACCAAACTCCTGTGAGTTCGGTGGTCAGGCGTGGGGAAGATGTGGAGAGCCGCCTGGGGAGCTGAACTGGGACGCATGCTCATATCCACACCTGCAGCGGGCCTTCCCCTGAGCTGATATGTCCTTAATGACTAGCATTCAGCAGCCCTTCGGAGTTTACAAACAGCCTTTCACGTTCACCATCTCTATCCCTCCTCACTTTCAGGGCCCAGCCTCATTTTAAAGAGACACACACAGGCTTGCAGCAATCAGACAACTTGCTAAAGGCCCCACGGGCAGAGCCCCAAGACTAAGCTCCTTGGGCCAGGCCCTCTTCTTTCAGTTTCTTTCTCCTCTCTTCTGCTTCCAGTTTCCTTCCCTCTCTCCCATCTTTCTTCTCTTCTCTGTCTTTCCTTCCATTTGTGCTCCAAGTGTCTGGCTCATGGGACCTGAACCCTCTAGCCTCTTCCCAAACACATCTGCCCACTCCCATGTCCAGCCCTCTCTCTACTCCACCAGCTGCAGAGGCGTTCCCTGGTGCCTCGTCAAGAGGTCTGCACGTCTTCCCTGTCCTGTTTTCTTTCCTGCCAGACCCCAACTCCTACCCTCTCCTACCCTCTAGAATGGCCTCTTTAAACCTCTTACCCACTTTGTCGTACACTTCCTTAACATTTTTTTAAATGGAGGCATCACATTCATACAGTAAACATCTATACGGTAAGGTACAAAAGCTTAAGTATACAGTTGATGAGTTTACACACACACACACACACACACACCTCTTGAATTGTTCCAGTGAAATTTTTCAACTTGTCACCTGAGGCCACATGATGACACAACATCTTCCTCTTGTTTGAAGAAATGATGTCATGTTGGTGTGACACAGAACACCTTTCTCGGAAGTCTTCCTAAGGCATCTTGAAGCCATTACCAATCATGTATGCCTTCCAAATCCCTGTCGTCCGGAGGTTAAGGGACTTAAGCTGATCAGAACTAGAATCTACCAGGTCGGGGTTTCTCAAGATACAACTGAAAAGCACTTGCTTCAGAACCACCTGTGGACCGTTTAAAACGCAGCATCCTAAACCTCAGCCCCACCCGATGAATCAGAAACTCTGGGGATGGGGTTCAGGAATGTGCGTTACTAGCAAGTTTCCCAAGTCATGCTTATCCATGAAAACATGTGAAATCGACTCTACTAGATGGCCAACTCCCCAAACACTGCAACCTCCAGCATCTGGCCCGGGGCCTGGCATCTGGTGGGAATACAGTGAGTGTTTGTTAAACAAATTAACCCACATTTTCTGACACAGTTTAGAGTTCCTTGGGTCACATCATAGTATTGTAATTTAACACCATTTCTACACTGAGAAATCTTTCCATTTCAGAGTCTTAGAATAGGTTTCATTTTGATGAAGCAGGAGAGGAAAAGGAATAGATTTTGATGGTTTTTCAGGTCTCGGGAAGGGCTTTTATAAACCCAAGTAGGACTCCCTTGCTGGCAAGGCTGCCCCCCTTCAAACCTGGGAGTTTGGGGAGGGCAGAGGAAGAGTTTCCCAGATTTGCTGAAGGACGCTCAGACGCACACCTTTCCAGGTTGGCACTGAATGCTTCTGTTGAAGGAACATCAGAGCTGTGGAAGGAGCAAGGCCACCAGGTCCAGAGGCACTGGCATGCAACGGACATGGGAGCTGAAGCTTACTTAGGTATTCTCTGATGGACAGTTGATGTACAACGCATCTTCCATGAGGAAGCACATTTGCTTATCCGCAGACCTTGAAAACAAAAGAGAAATGCTGTGCTTTATGTGATAATGTGGGACCTATTCTTAGACATAAGAGCTACACACACACACACCCCACAACATCTCACCAGGTCCAGGGTGCCAGCACGCTTCACTGTGAGAAAGCGATTCATCGTCGAGGTTACTTGCTATGGGGTCTAGAGTGGGAGTGACTTGGGTGCAGATCCTCGGTCCCCCACTTACTAGCTGTGCAATCTCGGACAAGTTACTCAAATGAGCGCTACCGAATTTTTATGAGTAGTTCATGAGATAAGGCACATAAAGCATCTGGTACTATCTGGTATAACCGTTCCAATGTTAGTTACTTCTAAGACTGTGTCACGGTGGTAGATGACTTGAGACTCTCCCTGGGCCTCAGTTTCCCAGTCTGTAGAGTGAAGTCCTTTCCTAAGGAAGGGCTTGGAATTGCGGTTGAGCCAGTCGCAAGGGAATTTACTCTCTCTGCCTTTAGACTGGGAACCACAGTCATCACCAAGCACATAATTTTTATCAAAAATGATTATTATTATTAATAAATTCTTACTTTAATGACTTGGCAGTCAGGCTGCAGCTGTTAGTGGTCAGACAGCCCTCGGCAACTATTGGTCTCCTTAGGGAATGGCCTCAGTTGAAGAGAGGCATCTTGCCCAAGGTCATGCCCCATTTCCCAGGGTAGCATCCAATGACTAATAGACAAGGGGATAAGCCTGATCCTTGCGCCCCACTTTGGATACCTTCAAAGGGCCATCCCATCTTCCCAACTCCGTGAAATGTTGCCCGAGGTTCTGTCAAGACTCCGCTGCAGCTTCACTTCTCCTGTCTGACACTGCTTCCCTCCCCTCTCTCCCACACTTCTGAGCACCCCCTAATAAACCCCCTACTTGCTAATTGCCCTGCTCCCAGGGAGCCCAGTAACCATAACTGTTATGGCAAAGAGCATGCTCAGTGGTAGAATTGGAGATAAAGCGCGGAGGAACCAGAGCACAGAATGACCAGGGCAGGTGGTGGGAGAAAAGGAAGGAATGCAGGCAGTACCTGGTATAGCAGCTAATGACCTTTGGACTTGACCATCAAGGTGACAGGGAGTCACTGACAGGTCCTCCCAAGGAGGTCAAGGAATCATTGAGGCTCTGCATGTTG